AGCCGGAACTTGCTAACTTCACGGGTTGTTTAATTGGCTTTTGGGATGAGAATGACTAAGCTCTCCTTCCACGAAGCTGGATGCGAGTTGGTGAGCCAGAGCTTGTTGAAAAGCTCCAGCATCCGTAGCTGGCCTAGCGTTGGTAACCTCTTGAGTAAAGGGTACCCGATTTCGTCGGGGCCCGCCGACTTTCCGTTGCTGCAGCGGAGGGCATGCTGCAATTCGTGCCAGGAGAATGCCTGGTTGATGTTCAAGTTCCCAGCGTCAGAAGAAACAGAGAAACTTGCAAAGGATGACGTCGCATTCTTAGCTTTCCGCTTGAATTCGTCTTCGTACTTCTTGATGGCTGCGAGATCGGCAAAGTACTAGCCGAGTTCGTCCGCTACAATTGCAGCGTCAGAAACCGCTTCACCGCTAATCTGTACGTGGAGCGGAGTCATGCACCATTTCCCACTGAGCGCGTTGACTTGCTTCCATAAGTCGGCCGAAGACTGTGACGAATTCATTCCTTCCAGAAAGTCCATCCAGCTGGATCGTTTGGCGACACGGATTTCTTCTTTTCTTTCTTCTTTCCTTTATTTAACGTCGGTCTCTGTTCCGCAATCTAGTGCCAATCACCGACGGACTTCGATTGCCATCCATTGACGACAATCCAATGTGCAGGAAGGCAGCTTCCACACCTGCGTAGGATATCGCACCCATTCACAACATACATGGGCCGGGACCAACGGCTTTACTTCCCTTCCGAAGGAAGACGTGACCAGAGATTTTTATGCCTCAGAAAAATCCCACCGACCTCGGCTGGGATTGAACCCAGACCCATTGGGGTGTTAGAAAGCAGTCACACTTACCACTACACCACCGGCGCCGGCGCACACGGATTTCTTGCCGGCATTGATTGTGCGAGTAGTAGTAGTAGAATGGTAGTGAAGGAGAGCGTCCTCGCGGTCAGGATGTCTGATAGAAAGGCGCTTTACACGGCGAAGTGCTTTACGCCGGGCTTTAACGGATTTCCTCGTATCTTAATTCCACCAGCGTAGCACTTTTCGCCCCGGAACGCTGCTGGTCTTTGGGATTATTGCTGTTGCCGCTTCGTATACCACTTCTGCAAAGTCTTCAATGCTGTTCGGATAACGCTGTAGTAACAAGGACTTAAAGGCTTCACCATAGCTATCCCAGTCCGCTTGGTTATAAAATACTCTTGAAATTGCACTTATTTCTAAAACGGGAAACATTGAAGTGAAATACATTGTAGCATCTGTTAAATATGCGACACATCCTCCGCATTGGCTCATTCTATCCGCAGTTGGTTCGTGAGAGGCGGTTGTTCAGGAAAGTATGCGATCGTAGATTACGGCGGTGGGCATTGATGTCGATACTACTCAGCAGTGTAGAACAGTCAATGTTTCCCTGAAGAAGATCACCGACGAAGCTCGCCATTGCTACGTTACGTCTCGCATCGAAAAGCTCTATGTTGATAAGCATACAACGGCTTTTATACACGGCGAATGATAATGACTCAAATTTGAGTTTAGTTCACTCATAATCGCCAAAAGTGCAGGAACTCAGCGATGTGTAAAATTTGTCCCATGGTTTCCTGTGGAAAACCTAAAAAATCTGCCGGAAAATGAGGAAATTGACGAAAATTTTATTCAGTCTCGGAGTAGTACCAATAGACTGGGTGAATCCAATCTTTACTTTTCTCAAATTCGGGAATTTTTCCCTGGAAAAACCTGGGAAAACATGAGGCGAATTAACTGATCGCTGAGTTCCTGCACTTTTGGCGATTATGAGTGAACTAAACTCAAATTTGAGTCGTTCTCATTCGCCGTGTAGCTAGGCAGATTTCTAGGGTCATTCCAGCGAAAATGCCTTAGAGCATACCGGATGAACTTCCGTTGAATAGCTTCAATACGCATGGTTTCATTTTGGTAGTATGGAGACCACACGACCGTCGAATACTCCAGAATAGGTTGCATCAACGAACAGTAGAATGCTTTTAGGCAGTATACAAATACATCTTTGATTTTTTGGCGAAGCGGAATATGAACCCGAGTTGTGAGGAAGCTTTGGATACTACGTATGCAACATGATCCTTCAAGCTGAGCTTGGAGTCGATCAGTATTCCCAGATCCTTGATAGTCGATTCACGTTTCAAAGTTATGCCCGTCAGGGTGTAGTCATGGTGAAGAAGCGAACGCTTGCGGCCAAAGGAAATTACAGAGCATTTCAAGGCATTCAGTGACATGCGATTAATACGACACCACTCAGCGAAGACTTCCAATTGTTGCTGCAAGAAAATGACATCACTAGGTTCTTTTATCACGAAGCAGAGTTCCGAGTCGTCCGCATACGATAGTTTAAGGCATTTCAGGATGGTATTGACGTCATTCATGTACAACAGAAACAGAAATGGCCCAAGATGGCTACCATGGGGAACGCCGGATGTCACGGGGAAGAATGAAGGAACATAGTCTCCAATCTTGACAGACATGTTTCGACCAGTCAGGTAGGAGTAGAGCCAAGTAAGCAGACCATTGTGAACACCTATCCTGTCGTATTTAGCCAAAGCAACTTTCATTCTTTCATTTAATGCCGGTCTCTGTTCCGCAATCTAGTGCCAATCACCGACGGACATCGATTGCCATCCATTGACGGCAATCGAATGTGCAGGAAGGCAGCTTCCACACCTGCGTAGGATATCGCACCCATTCACAACACACATGGGCCGGGACCAACGGCTTTACTTCCCTTCCGAAGGAAGACGTGACCAGAGATTTTTATGCCTCAGAAAAATCCCACCGATCTCGGCTGGGATTGAACCCAGACCCATTGGGGTATTAGAAAGCAGTCACACTTACCACTACACCACCGGCGCTGGCAGCCAAAGCAATGTCATGGTTCATTTTGTCAAATGCTGCGGAGAGGTCTGTGTAGATGGCATCTACTTGATGGCCACGTTCTACTTCATGAATGATGAACGAAGTGAACGTAACTTACTTGGTCGTCGTGGAACGCTTAGGCATGAAGCCATGCTGATCCGTCGAGATACAGTGTGCAAAACTTTGAACCAATTTTTCGAGTATAATCAATTCGAAAAGTTTGGAGGTAGCACTTAACGAAGCTATTCCACGGTAGTTTGAAACAGTCCTTTTGCATCCTTTCCTGTGGATTGGGAACACGAATGACTCTTTCCAGCAAGCTGGGAAAACCCCAGACATCAAGAAGAGATTGAAAACGTTGGCTAGAGGTGTCGCGAGAGCAGTCAGGCAGCGTTCGAGGACTAACGACGGTACGCCATCTGGCTGCTTCCCGAATGAAATAACCATTTCGCTGGTGATAGAAAATCGATGGCTGGAGAAGGTTGACGACACAGCCATTACATCCTGAGTGCTGAGTTGTTCGTTGTTGAAAACACTGCTAAATTGTGTGCGAAACAAGTCGGCAATACCCACGGTAGAGTCCACTTCCACTACGCCATTCGGAATACTTGGGGGGGTTGTCTGCTTTCCTTTCTTTGGGCATTCACATGGCACCAAAAGTTTTTAGGATTTGATTTCAGACGACGCTGAAGCTGGTCTTGCTGTGCATGGTACAGTTGGTTGTTGAGTCGCTTGTAATCTGTGTTCGCTTTAGAATAACATGCTTTCGTGGAATCGGTTTGGTATTTGCTGTGCTTACGAAGAGCAGCCCTATTATTTTTTTTTTCAATTGCTTAAGCTCTGAATTCGACCTGGCAGGTTTAACAGATTCGCGACTGATTCGCTTGGGTACGAATTGATCGCTTGTGTACAAAAGAATGTTGGATGTTAGAATCACAGTCACGCAGTGCTTCTTCCCAGTCGACATTTGAGAGAAAATCATTTATTTCGCTGAAGTTGGCTTCGCCAAAGCTATACAGGTCGCTCTCTACAGTGTCTTTGAAATTACGATGAACGTTGAGCTTTAGGCTCACCAGCAGAGGAGGATGATGTCTACAGTTGATAATTTTGTCCTTTTTGGCAAGTAATATCACACCATATTTTCGACACGATTGAAGTGCATCTACTTTGATGTGATATTAAAATTAATGATTTGCTGTGTAGTACGGAAAACTTTCAAGATTTAAAATGACCGAATTTCAGCAAAAAAGTTTCATGCAAATCCGAGAAGGTCAAGTTTATCCGATTCGTCATTTGGTGTGGAACTGTTCCAGGGCAATACAAGTGTTCAAACTTCATACAAACTAAGATCATTTCACAGATTTCTGTGAATCTTCACCAAAATTGCAACAACTGAACGTTCGGTAATCAGCTCGGTGATTTTTCACTGTTGAGGTGATCAGCTGTTGAGATTTCGGTAAAATTTCACAGTTTCTTCTTCTTCGCATTTCTTGCTTATTGCTTATTGCATATAAGCTTATTCCGTGCTCTCAACTTAGTGTTCTAGATGCACTTCCACACTTATTAATTGAGAGCTTTCGATGCCTGTTCCATTTCTGACCGAAAAATTCCTAGACCGGACCGGAAATCGAACCCAGCCACCAGGCCTTGCTTTGTAGCTGCGCTTTAACTGGCTGAGCTAAAGGAGGGCCCAAAATTTCACTCCAATCTATTAAATAATCTTAGTGTGTACAGACTGAGCTTATCAAGCCCAAAACCATAATCATGAAAAGTAAACCAACCAGCAGCCAAGATTTCACAAAAAACATTAAAAAAACTCTGACTATTCCACCTACCGGGGTCAAGAGCCTTTCTCACAGTTTCGTCGTACAAATTACAGTAAAAATTGAGCTTTCCCGATCTATTTAAAATTGTCAATGATGTAAATAGCCTTTGTTTTCGATTTTATTTTTCTCGTAATAATTTGAAACAATTTGTAACCACTTTAAGTAATGTTTACTGAACCTATGCCTAAGTTCTATCATTTGAACTACATGTGATGATTATGGAATGATTGCCTGACATAGGGAAATATGTGCCACGAAATTTAGATTCCGATCGTTCGAACGTATGACTTACCGGTATCTGGACGAACGTTCCGTTGCTGACTTGAGGATACGCAAATAATGGCACGACAGGAACTGTTCCATTCTTGAGAAAAATTGGACCCTGGATGGGTGTTACCGTTGGCATACGAGAGTTTTTCCGATCTGCAAATGAAAAGCAAAAGAACAAATAAAACAAACGCGTTAGAATAAAACAACGATCGCTGAAAAGCATAGGAATAACAATATGTGGATAAGCTCTTTGCTGACACCGGGAACATTTGTAGATGTTTACAAGAACAAGTAGTAGCTGAAGTTCTCGGAAGATGCATATTGGTCATTCCACGGCAAGTGATCACAAGAATATGCAGAAGTGAAATCGACCTCTTTTTGATCCAAAATATTGAAAATTCATTTGATTGTGCTGGTTGAACCGCCCCTCTGATCAAGCGAAATAAAGTGTCACTAAAGAGCTACAGTTTTTTGAAAAATGTCAAAGACACCATTTTGAAAATTTTACAGGTCTCAAAATTGATGAATTTAAACAAAAATTTGAATCATTTTCCAAAACAAACAATTATGCAAAAATTCATGCAAATTTGAGAGGTCGAGTATTTTTGATTCGCCAATTGGCTCAAATGAGTCATTTAACCAAAATTGAAATTTCTCTCAAGGGACTATGCATTAATTATGCCACGCTAAATTGAGGTAAAAATTACCCCCCCCCCCCTCCTCTTGACACGTTTGTCCTATACCTAATGCATTGCTTGTCCCAATACCTAACATCATCGTCCCCCCTTTCCTTGTTGTGCGCTACACATTTGAATTAAGCAAAAAACCGAATGCAGTTGAGCCGAAAGGATTTTTAGATTAAATAAAGGGTGCCCACAGTTAAATTGAATCACTTAGAAGTACTCGCCACAAATAAGTCTCTCATCCGATTGTCATGAAATTTTCAGGGAATGTAATACTACACATAAGTTTGGCTTACGTATCTATATTTTACTCTATTTCTTCACAAAATCCAATTGCCCAAACTTTCTTCTTAATACCACATTTCCTGCTCCGTAGTGACAACTTTAGGATGCTTACGGAGTTCGTGCTGCATTATAGCCCAGTATCTTTCGATCGACCGCAACTCCGGTGTATTTGGGGCACGAAATTGACCCCACTCGTCTTGTACTACTCCAGAACGTCCTTGGAGTAGTAACAAGAGGCTAGATCCGGCTAAAAAATTGTAGGAACGTTGTGTGATTTGAGAAGCGGAAGCAGTCGTTTCTTCAGGCACTCTGTCATGTAGACTTGTCCATTTACGGTTGAAGTTGTTACGCAAGACAACCGTGTTCGGCGCGAACACATCGCATGCTAAATAATGAATAGCTTGGGGAGCTTCGACACTTGTTGTTTCTTGAGGGATTTGTTTGAAATTCGCTTTTACGTATGTTTCATCGTCCATGATACAGCAGTGTGGTTTTGTCAACATTACAGCTTACGTGCTCACGTTCTTGCTTATTGGGACAGAATAGGACCAGTCGTTTATTGCGGTTTGGTGCTTTCTGAACCTTAAATGAACGTAGTCCTGCTCGTTTCTTGGCTTTCTGCACGAAACTTGTGATTTTCAACGCAGTACGGAACACTTTTTCTTCCACTCATTTGCTTCCGATCTACAGTTAAATGTTCTCCAAAACGTTTTATGATATGAGAAACAGTAGATTGTTGGATTCCCAGGATATTTCCGAAGGCTCGGTGTGAAAGATGTGGGTTGTTGAGGTGAGTGTGCAAAATTTTCTCGCCCACGGGCTGTTCCTTCAACTCCATTTTCAAAACTACTAGAAATTTCACAACGAAGCTCACGCAGAGTACAGAATAGACGCTGAGGCCATCTCTCCCTAAATTTCATTTAAATTAACCGGAAGGGCAAAATGTTACAGCTCCTTTAAATTGATTCAATTTAACTGTGGACACCCTTTTAGCCCTTTCAAATACTGTTATATATGTCTATGTTTTAAGAGTGTAACCCATTAGGCAAAAATACGTTTGGCATACGGACGTTAGGCATACGAATGATAGGCATAATGGACGTAAGCAATAAATACATTAGGCATAATTGACGTTAGGCATAATATACGATAGGCATAATACACGATAGGCATAATATACGATAGGCATAATATACGATAGGCATAATGAACTTTAGGCATAAGAGCTCATGCTGTTAAGTATATGTTTCATATACTTTTCTGTAACTTCAATCGTGGGTCTGGAAATTCAGCTTGCATTGTGATTTTCAGAGCCTCCTCGACAATCAAGTTTATGATATTCATTGGTTCTATACCCAAGTAACCATAGGCACGACTATACCAGTGCACTGCAGTGTTTGTGAGTACTGATGAGGCCTATTTATAGCCAGAAAGGCAAAATAGCGTGCCTATGGTTACTTGGGTAGGTATCGATTACTGGCAAAATGGGTTGTCCACATACTTAGCAGACAGCCGTTTTAACGATTTTTTGTACAATTGCAGGAACTGTAAACGAACGTCAGCACATTCCCCCAGTCTGTAACTATCTGCGTAACCTCAATCTACAAATATTCACAAGTCTCAAAAGTTTTAAAACTTGCAAAGTGCAATATCTCAGAAGTTCTTCACAATCCAGAAATAATATTTTTATGATTTAAAGAATCAAACATTTAGTTTATACATTGAAGCCTTGAATCCTTGAAAACTTTAACTTGGAAAATTTACAAATTATTCGGAATGTATGTAAAGGGTGTCCCGCATCAAATTGCATCACGGAAAAAAAAAACGCTGTAGGAAATTACCCATTGGGTATATCTTCTTGAAAATATTGGTAGAAGTAGTTTAGAGTGTATTGTTTACACTGTATTTTTATCGCTGTCAGTTTTTCGAAAGTTGGAAAAAATAGCATCACCCGAAAAGCAACGTCGTGAAACCAAGAAAACCCGCAACTCTCTCATCGGGACATCGGAAAACAACTCGGAATCGAGCAGTCAACGGTGAGTCGTGTGATTAAACGTTACTACGAAACTCTAAGCATCGAACAGAAGGAGACATGCGGTCAGAATGGATGTTCTATTAGTGATCAGGATCACAAGCATGTCGTGAAAGCGTTTAAGCGGAATCCCAATGCTTCGGTCAGGTATGTGGCCAAAAAGTTGAATCTGTCCAAGTCTTTCATTCAGAGAGCCAAAGACCGGGAGGGGCTGCATACGTACAAAAGTACAAATCGTGACAATCGTGGTCAAATAGGTAATTTTCTACAGCGTTTTTTCCGTGATTCAATTTGATGTGGGACACCATTTATTTTAAGGATTTCAAAAGTTTCTCATCCCGGACACAGGACAATGAGTCATGGATTGATTATTTAAAGGTTCTATAATTGGAAATTTACATCGAGATCTCATGCTTAGACCAATCTTATCGAACCAGGTTAAAAAAAAAACTTCTTAGTTTTAAATCATGGAAAAAACATAAACGTTCTTTCACATAAAAATGCAGGATCTCAGATAAGATTTTTTTTCATACACTGAATACAGAAAAAATATCAAGAACCACGTCTTGTCAAGAATTTCCAGAAGACACTCAACTCACAAAAATATTCAAAATGCCGGATACCAATCACATTCATGGGGTTTATTTCGTTCGTATAGAAAACCATTATTTAAAGAATAAGGAGAAGAAGAAGACTTTCATTCTCAAAGAACAGAACATGAGAAAAAAAAAGGTTAATTTTGTTACATTCAAAGTGTATTATGTAAAGTTTACGATTTTCAGAGTTGGTTGGAAATGCTATCTAACATGAAGCTTCAGTGTGATAATTTATTAGCTAGAGAAAGGTTTGAAGAGGGTAGGTTGACAGCGCAGCTCTTTTTCGACTTCTATTCAATTTTCATACTGCCGTACTCTAGCGGAACCATCAACCTACCCTCTTCAGACCTTTCTCGAGCTAATAAATTATCACACCAAAGCTTCATTTGAGATAGCGATTCCATCCAACTCTGCTGATTTTGTGAGTTGGCCAAATATCCCATCATAAAAAAAAACTGCCCGATCGAAACTCAGCTAGCCTTTGGCTCTCATCTGAAAATTACAGAAATCATGAATGTTTAAAAAGGATTAAGATTATTCTCAAGGAACAGCTCATGAGATAAATAATACAAAAATCTTAACGGAATCCCTTTATGAAGAGTTGGTTGAGTTGGTTGGTTTATTTCCTTTAAATTCTGTTATAATTGCTTATCTTTTGACAGATCCGCGTATTTCGTCTACTACTTGCAGACTTCATCAGTGCCAAGTACTCAACACCAACACCAATAACGGAATTTAAAGGAAATAAACCAACCCACTCAAAACTCTTCATATATTTGTAATTTAAATATGAATTATGGCTATCATCCATTAAGCCTAACGTCCATCAGGCTTATCATAATTATGCCTAACGTATGAATGCCTAACGTCCATGTGCCTAGCGTTATGGACTCATGTTTTAACTACCTTGAAAATTAGTTTGAATCTCTTTACATGATTCTTTTTAAATGTTTAATTTTTTTAACGTAATTTACTTCACATAGTTCGTTTGCATTCATCTAAAATAAATAAGAAAATCCCTTTGATTTGTTTATAACCGTGTGAGGTACACCTGAGCAAGTTGCAACGCGTGGGGAAGTTGAAACGGTAAAGGTTGAGTCATTTAATATCTGGATGCACTGTTTATTCAACTGCAGTGCTCCTAGCGGTCTGATCTCGAATGTTTTGACAGCAGTTTGTTTTGAAATGTTTTCTTTTTCAGTGCTGAAAAGTTCATCACGATTCATTTTCTTTAAAATAAGTAATACTCGATGGAAGCCGCGGACCGAAAATTAATTTTGGACACCCACTTTGAAAATCGCAAAGTCGTTGAAATTGGCTAAATCGACCAAGTACAGTGTTCTCAAACGTTTTCGTGAGTGGCATACTATCGATCGGCACGATCATAGGAAGCGCCGTAGTGGAACTAAGAATCGGAAGCTGCATTTGAAGGTGTTTTTTTTTTCCTTTGGTTTGTTTTTTTCCGTCGATCTTGTTTTCCGTGCTGAGCACCAATGCTAAAGGGTGATACGGTCAAAATTTGGTCAAGGGAAAACGCGTGTAAATCGGTGAAATCGT